TGTTTCAAGGGTGTGGTACTGCAAAGTCGAAGAAAGCAGCAAAGAAAAGCAGAGCGTGGAAAACTACAAGGACAAAAGAAGCAGCAGGACAATGTATCCAGTGGGCGCCATTCCTCGGTGTGTTTTAAAGGCATCCGGGAGCTGCCCTTCACTTATTATGCAAACGGAAAAGCGTGGATGACTAAACGATTTTCGAAACCTGGCTGTGAGGGCAGGAAAGTCGTCTTTATTGTAGACAACTGCCCCGCCCATGGTGAAGCGGATGGGCTTGAGTCCATCATCCTTGAGTTCCTGCCACCGAACGCAACTGCAGTAATCCAGCCAATGTACCAAGGCGTTATTCAAAACCTGAAAGTGTACTACCGCCGCCAGCTACTCCACCGAATGCTTCTTTGTGCAGACGGTGGGAAAGACTATAGTGTGAACTTGCTTTCGGCACTTCACATGCTGACCTATGCCTGGGAGCAAGTTAAAGTCTCAACCGTGCAAAGATGCTTTCACCACGCTGGCTTCGCAAGACAAGAAGTCATTCCAGAGGAGGAAGGGGATACTGCTGATGCTGATGCGGCTGATGCTGACATCCTTTTCGGTCAGCTGGTCTCTTGCACTTCTTTCACACGACAAGATTATGAAACGTTAGATGCAAACATCACCACATGCTGTGAAGAGAGCATTGAAGAGCTGGTAGCTGAAGTTCAAGGTGAGGAGGCCTCGAGCTCCAGTGAAGATGAGGTGGAATGCAGTGACCCCGGTCCTGCTGCAGTGCCAGACTGCACAGCGAGGGAGGCTGTTGCTCTCTTGCAGCGCTACTTTGAATCTGAAGGCTGTGCGGAATTTCTGCGCAACCTCCAAGGCATGCACACCTACTTCGTCAAAAAGCGATTACAAAATGCAAAACAAACTGCCATTACCTCTTTTTTCTAGTCAGCTACATTAGCTGGACATCATGCTTGTGAAATAAAGTCATATTTCACTCATTTTATGTACTTTGCTTAAATGAAACTTCTGATAAACGGAAAAAATTTTTCTGTCCCTTCGAGTTCCGTTTAAGAAAAGAAAGAAAGGTCAGAAAACGATCGTAAATTTGGCGAAAAATGAAGCGGAGCTGACAAAGTGAGGGCGTGAGCAAGCAGACCACTGCCGAGAGCAGACGACGCGAGCGGCGACAACGGAAGGAATGAAGTAAAAGCAGTGCTTCGTGAGCGGAGAAATCGTGTCCTAGCCAATAAAAGTCGCACGCTCCTCGAGCGCGCGCTCTGTCCAGTCACGTTGTCGCAATTGCGACGTGGAAGAACAGCAAACAAGCCATAACCACGAGGCCGACGCCATTTTGGGGAGCCGGAAAGTGAAAGAGAACAAAATTCACCGTCAAAACAAGACCAAGATGGTGGCCGTTGGTAAAATGCGTCAAGAACGGCAAGCGCATGAAGTTGAGGTTGATTTGATGTTTGACCGTCACTTGTACACTACCCACCCAGGCCTTGTAAATATTTGTTTTTAAAAATTTTCTCGTTGTATTAGGTGCTGATAATTACAGAGAAGGTAGTTTATGAGATATGCAACCCAAAAATATGGTTTTCTAAACGTAAACTTTTTCACGATTTTTCGGTTTTCAAAGTTTGCATCCCGATCCTGAACCATCTATTTTTAACCATTTTTCTAGAGCCTTCCTTAAAGGGATACTGAACCGAAACTTGGATTTCGCGAAATAAGGCCGCAAAGGCGTTGAACGGGATGCTACAAACTCCAAAACATCACTCGCACATCACTATTTCAAACGGACGGCCATACTTTTGGAAAAGAAAAGCGCAATCAAGCGAGGTCTTTGACGTAATTGTCCTCCGAGAGAATTTGAGAATGAGGAGAACCGGCCTCGCTTCTCTCCTCCTCGCTTCGGTTCACCAGCTCGATGGGGCGTAGCGAGGAGGAAAGGGGATGGGAATCGTGACGTGCTTTGTTCCGTCGGCCGTGTTCAATCGCTCACTTCTTTTCCAAAAATGCGGCGATCCATTAGAGATATTGCTGTATGAGTGATGTTTTTGGGTTTTGCATAGTCCCTCCTGCCAGCCTTGTTTTGTGAGCTTGAAATTTCGGTTTAGTTTCCCATCAGCCATCTGTGAACTTCCTATCATGGTGAAAAGTGAACACAAGTTTCTAGGTCTTTTCTTGAATTCAAAGATTCAAAGAAAAATTCATTGAAGATGGCAGTTTGTTTCGCAGATTAAGGAATTAAAGTCAAAATGTGTCAAATCACTCAGCATTCTCAAAGTGTTGTCCCATCAATCTTGGGGTTCTGATCGACTCTGTCTCCTGCGCATTTACTGCCCAGTAGTTTGGTCCCGACTCGATTATGGCAGTTTTGTGTATAGTTCAGCCTAAACATCAGCATCGAACATGCAGAATTCCATTCGTGATCAGGGGGTGCAGCTAGCCACCGGTGATTTCCGCACCTCTGATGGCCAGCCTCTATGCAGAGGCTGATGAATATTCTCTAGAGAAAAGATGTTTTGCTGTGGGGCTTATGTATTCACTTTGAGTGAAATCAGTTCCTCTCCATCCAGGTGTTGAATCTGATAAAAAATCAAGTTTGAGAGGACTTTTCAAGATAGGCCAGGTATTGTCCCTCTCTTCTTTGCATTGAGGCACACTGAGGCAGCAGAGGGCTTTGACCTTGACCCAAAGCGCTCCTGTGGAAAGTACATAAGCTCTGCAGCTCCTTGGAATTATTCCCTCGTTCATTGGAACTTCACTTTGACAAAACAGAGAAAGAAAGACACTCCTGATGAAGTGCTGAGGCAAGAGTTTTTTGTAATACAAAGCCAGTACCAGCACCACTTCAGCATTTACACAGCTAGTACTGAAACCAATCCTTTTGTTGGTTGTGCAACGGTTAAAGCATTTGTTCGCCATGTGAAACAACTCAACCCTTCTGCCACAATTTCAACGGCAGAGTTGCACGGTTTATTACTTGCTTGGAATATACAGGTAAAAAAAAGCTTTGTCGCTCAATGGCGTACACAAACTCTTTCAGAGCATGAAAAGCGCCTGTTTCACTGAATTTAGCCACAAACTCTTTAGTTGCTCAACTGCAAGATAATTTCAGCCATCAAAAATGGGTATGAAATTATCTTCTGCTGGGTGCCAAGTCACGTTGGCATCCCGGGCAACGAGGACAAAGATCGGGCTGCTCGCCCTGCCATCACACTCTTTGTGGACACGGGAGAAAAAACCCAAAAGATGATCGCAAGGCGGAGAAACGTTCCGCAATGCAGAAACGGCAACATGAGTGGGATCGCGAAGTAAACAAGTTGCATATGGTGAAGCACTTGCTGAAAGAAGGGGAGAGTGCCCGGCATTGCAGGCGTTTTTACGAGGTGATTCTCTGCCGTCTGAGGATTGGCCATATGCGACCAACACACGGGCCCCGGAGTGTGAGCATTGCCATAGCCATCTAACCATACATCATATTTTACTGCACATGGCCCAGAACACCGTAACCAGTTTTTGCAGTTATACAAAGAGTGTACCATTACATATCAAGATTTTACTTGGCGACGAACCTCTTATTCCACACTCTTGCGTTTTTAATTTCCTGAAAGCAATTGGCCTTCTACAGCGACTGTGATTCTACTCTCTTAGGTCCCTGAATTCGTGTTCATACTTTTTACACTTATGCGCACCTCATGTTCGTAGTTTTATCCTATCATCTGCTACTAGAAGTCTTCTTCCTAACCCTTTTCAGCGATAGTTCATGTACCTGGCACATTATAGCCTTAGGCACTTTAGTGCCACAAATATCCAATCCAATCCACACCTGCGCTGAGATAAAGCAAAAAAATTAATATTTTATTATTGGTTGACTCTAATATTTGGAGAAGTAGCAGAAGAAAAGACAAATTGTACAGTTATGAATGTCAGTGTCTCACTCACCGTATAGTTTGTTTCGTCTTAGGACAGGGCACAGTTGAAGGCTCGAACACGTACAACGACAAACACAGATACTAAAAGCTCAAGTCGCAGGGCATTCGCTGTACTTGATTGGTTCAGCCGATGAAAGAACACATACAAGAAAATGATGAATGCGACGACGTCGCGCTTTGACACTGCGAATCAACCGGCCAGAGCCTTTGATGCCGAGCATCAGCCGCTCTGGCCGATCGCTGCACTGGAACGAAAGAGCAGCAAACTTTGGTGTTACTGTGATTCCTGCACCGCTAAAGAGTTACGTCACCTTTGTAGGCTTTTACAGTATTTTGGGATGGTTGTTTTGCAGTTTTTGATATTAGTCTTGAGTTTTGTATGCTCATTAAACTTACGGACCCATTTTAATTGGTAGGTGTGTTAGCGGCGGATATGCTGGTTCTTGCTTCCATTTTACAGAAATTATATTTACAGGATAAGTAAATTATCGGCTACAAAATGGGGGATTTATTTCAATGAAGTTTTGCACTATGATTCACTTTTCAACCATTTTAAATACCCATTGTAAATGAAACCTATTGTGACTTGTTTAAGAAGACTGTGTATTTAAGAAGACTGTGTGCCTTTTATGCCCAATCTATTCTTATCACAAACGGTCATAAGTAATACTGTCAAGACCGGTTATAACAAAGTCGGTTATAACGAAATAGCGGTTACAGCGAAGCGATCACGATTTCCCATTCCCTTCTGCACTTCATTATAACCGAAGTCGGTTATAACCAAATAGCGGATATAGCGAATTGATTTCCGATTCCCGTTGACTTCATTATAACCGGTCTCGACGGTATGCTCAAACATCAAAGAGAAACCCCAGATCACTATCATAAATGAACTCATTTAGAGATGCAATCCCTTTTTCATTCTCAAATGATATGCTAACAGATGTTGGCATCTGCTCCAAAGGCTTCAGTGGTTGCTCCGAACCGAGCTTTTGCCTGCTACTGAACCTGCTACTGAACCTACTACCAAAGGTCAAATGCCATTTCCCTCACCGGGTATGTTTCTGGGCTTCCTTGCAGGGTGGAGAGAAGCTTCAGGAGGCCTTCTACATCTACCAAGAGCTGGCTGAAAAGAACACCAGCACGCCGCTGCTGCTGAATGGTCAGGCGACCGCTTACATTGCTCAGGGAAAATACGAGGAAGCTGAAGCGCTCCTGCAGGAGGCCATTGAGAAGGTGACTGTCTTCACCGCACTTAATACAGCTTTGCTTTTGTCAGCATACCGCGAGGCCGAGCACTTGGAGCGAAAGCTCGCACTGCAGAACCCAGGGATCCTGGGCTCTATCCCCACCGCTGCCCGTTTCGATCTGGATGAGCATCGTACCAGCATGCGGTCGTCTAGGTATCACTTCCGCATGATGCGCAATACAGACCCCCCAGTCTAGCGGTGGTACCACACTGGCTAAATTTTCTATGTATGGCGAAGACGTCGGACATCTACTGGGACTGACTAACTTTTTCCTGTCTAGATGTACAGATAACAGAATGAAACTTTTAACGAATTTTGAATATGAGCATTTCTTTTCTGTTAAGAACATTTTGAAAAATATGGCAGCCACCATGACATACAAGTGGTGCAGCTGAAATGGTACTGTTGGCACCCATGACTGTAAGTGTGGAAAAAGCAAGCGTGTACGTTGCATCTTGCACACCGTGTTTCTGTTTCAACATTCGGTTTCTTCAGCTTTGTGGGTTATAACTGCAGAAACGCGGTTGTTCGGTGTGGCGTGAATCGAGTCATTAGTGTTTGCTTATTAATGTTTATTGTTTATTCTATTTTTATGCAACAAGCAGTTCATTGGTTTCAGATACACACGGTATACAGAAACTTAAGATATATAAACAAAAGTGGAATGGTGTCATTACAAAATAATTAAAACTGATATAGAAGACAGGGAATGTCAGTAGTAATACCCTAGCAAGTCTCCTTTGACTGCTATAAGGTTCTGCCTATGCAAACAAGTACAAATGTGGCCTAATACGTATGTCATTAAAAGGCTGCATATTAAGGTCCCAGCAAGAAACCGAGTGCAGTCATTATTGCCCAGATGGGTACACAATGGTGCAATGCCCTATGCCACTTAACATAAGTTTAAAATAATGACAGCCAGATGAAAAGGCGCTCTTTTTATTTTGTCATTACGCTCATTTCGATTATGGTTACTGGTTAAGTACTAAGATTTTTTATATATATATATTTTTGTCATGTTCCGCAAAATGCTTCAATGATTGTTTTGTTTTTTATTACTTTCCAGGACAGCAATCATGTTGAGACATTGATAAACCTGGTGGTGCTTTCTCAGCACTTGGGAAAATCGCCAGAGGTAAGTGCTCGTCTTCATTGTACGAAATTATTTGTTTTATTGGGCAGGGACTAAGTGTACTGCATGAGCCAATGTCTAAGTCATCATTCTTTATGGTGTAGTGTAATTAGCGGGTGGATATGCACTGGAAGTTGCAGTGCTAGTGTGTCCTGAAATGTGTATAAAAAATAAAGCATGATTTCAGCTGGTGTGTCCCTTTAAACCTTTCAGCCCTCATTTCTTTTATTTTGACTGCAGATTTTTTTTTTTACTTAAACGTTTAAGTAACATGTTCACAAAAAAAAATGTAGTATAAATATTTATTGATTTAGTGGTATGGTATCCAATTATCACATCAGGTCATAGAGGTTGTGGAATCAAATAAGGGAAAACTATTCAGTACAAACGTCTTCAGTCGGAACAAACAACTACCTTACTATTTCGGAGCATGGCAGTGCAATTAATTAGGTAGTGGATGTACACTGTCGAAGGTGTTGTCCTGAAATATGGGTGAAAAATAAGGCAGATTATTTTAGTTGGTGTCCCCTTAAACTATAGGAAATTCAATAACAGCACTCTGCTCTACTAGACACTCTCTGTGGCACAATACATGATTGGGATACTAACTGTGAAGTTTTTCTTTTGTCCGCAAAACCCTTTCCGCAAAACTAAATATCCTAGCTCAGCACAATTCTTTTCTTTATTTTTCCGGAATGTTATTATGGTTAATAGAGAAATATTTCTTTAAATTTTTAACACTCTTCTTGCACCCACTAAATTGTTATTAAGCATGTATGCTTCTACCACTTAGTTGTTTGTCTGGGGGAAATTGCCTTTCACTACATTTATTAACTGACTTGTGGGCTCTAATGCTGCAAAATTTCAACTTAAGTGGTCCTACGGTACTGGACCACACAAGCTAGTTACTTACCGTAAAATCCGCGGAAGTGTCCACTTCCTTCAAGTGCGCACTATTAACATTTCGCGAACTTCGGAATTCTGCAAATGTATACTTTAAGTGCCCGATTTGACATGACAAGCGCCCACGCCTAGATTAACCCAGTCTTCAGTGAAAGTGGAGTGGGCGCTTCCTCGGTACTTTACGACAAGTTACTAATAATGGGAGTTTGCCACGTCCACTTTCTACGATATTGGTTTGCCGTGTCGCATAAATTCGGAGACTCTGTAATAAAGACAGACTGTGGACGAGAGTAAACAGTTGTCATGAGGTTAGCAATTCACGCTTTGGTACCTTACCCCCACTACAAACTTGCATGATACAGGGAATTCATACTGCAGATAGCAGACATGGTAAACTTGCATTTCATGCTTCTTTTTCCTAACTCTGAAAATGTTATGATGAGTGTCATTAGTTGGAACGGAAGCTAACAACGGTCCTTGCAGAGGTGGTTATTCGCATCAGTAGGCTGAAGGTCTCTTTTAATTGCCGTTCCCGCTATCGGCTATTGATATTGTGGCAATTGAAATCACGTGCAGATAGAATCAATCTTTTTGTTGTGCTTTTCTAGGTTTTCGGGCATTAACTTTGAGACTGTGAGCACGTTATCAGTAGTGTTATCTACTGTCGGCAGAAATGTGGAAAAAATGATTGCATAGCGTTCTCTCCATACTGTCGCCGGCGGCCGGACGCCTTCGAAAGCATTTGCATCGAGTGGCTTTAGAAAACCGTCCGGTATTCGGACGAAACTACAGAAATAACCTAACGTCTGGGATATCGAGGTACCCCCAAGACAAAATATATGAAAGGAACAGCGGGCAGGAACAGAATCGGAAACTTCAAATTAAACGCGAGTGAATATGTAAGGCATAGGCTAAAACTTGAGTGTCACAAATCCACACCCTAGCACTTGGAACCCAGGATTTTGAGAAGCCAGCAGGACAGGTAACAAAGATGCTAGGTCATGCCAAATTGTCGAGCTAGTACCTGAGGCCCCGAGGTGAATGGTAAACCTAACGATACTAGAAGGGTTCAAAAGCCTCATTGTGGCACATGGACGGTTACTGAAGCATCGCCCCGTGCTGCGATGCTCGACGTTGGAACGAGCAAGTGTCAAAACCAACCGCTTATTCACACCGCCCGTGTTTGCGGTCGGTCAGGTGACAAGCCGCCTGCTGAGCCAGCTGCGCGACACCAACAACAGCCACCCCTTTGTCCAGGAATACCATAACAAGGTAAGGTTGCTCGTGTCCCATCATTTGGCGACGTTTGTGTTGCCTGGTCGTTTGCGCGAATTACGCGTAAAGCGGGTTACCGTCTGTCGTGCAACGCAAGGTAGGCGGTTGAAGGGGATATGTGTTGGCTGCGCGCTCATGCGCCAAGTTCACGAGATGCCAGATTGTTACTGACGACGGGAAACTTGCATTGGAGGCGGGGCAGCCGAAAAAACTTCCCATCATTTTCATCCTGTCGGTGTTTTACACCTTTCCAAGAAACACGCGACCCCAGTCACTGGGTTTGAGGCTAGACTCTTACCGGCATCCCCGCTAACCCTAACCGAGTGGACTGTGATTTTGATGGGCGCAGCCTGCGTAGGCGCGGTTTCAAACACCGCTGGTGGACAAATTCTCGTCTTTTCCCGCTGTATTTTGTGTTTCATGGTGCATGTATTTTCCCCAGGTCATTGAGAAAGCATTGTACCACATTTGAAGAAGAAAAAAAAAAAAACAATAAAAAGCTATAAACTATTTTTGTTGGGTATGCGCGCAACAGAACGAATGCGACCGGAATGTATAGTTCTAGTTTTTTTGTTTTTTTTACGGTAATCCTTGACGGCTCCACGCGATTCGCCGCATGACAAATGATAAAGCACTTAGCTGTCAAAAATAAATTTCAACAGAAGAGGGCCGAAAGTCATGCATTTTTCACGCTCACAAATAACGTGTTTACCGATGGACTGGACACGGACATACAATTTTAAGGAAGTGTTAACATTCGAACAATATATTGTACGTACCACACAATGCAGTGTTATCCAAAAAGAATTTATTTGAGAAAGATCTCAAATAACACAGTCACAGTCGACGACAGTCACATCTTGACGATCGTACAGAATCTAAGATGACTTCGTTTTGGGGCACGTTTTGGGGAGAGCTTCTTTTTTTCACAACAGCACCAAGTCAAAGCAACGAATGCGACTGACCCGTTTCCCACCCTAACCCGGACAACTATTTTTGGAGATGACTGAGGATTCTACGCGGATTATTCTTGGGAGGGGGGGAACAATGTTCGCAAAATCGCGTCGAGGGTCGTTCGACGCCGTTCGACGGCTCCTTCGTTTCCCGTGAATGTCGAGCAGAAAAGCTTGAATGGCAGGCACTTACCAGCCTTATTTGTCACAATGGAGGATAACACAGAAAGGTTACGCAGCACGCATAAAAGAATTAAGTGGAAAATTTCAAGAAGGGTGAGAAAACGTCGAATACAAAACCGCAAAAACGTAGGTAGAGAACAGCGCTGAGCAGGTCTTCACAGTCCAAGAGAGTGGCAGAAAATTTCTAGCTGATAGAGGGCGCGAGAGTCGCACCAGCCGCCTCAGCATCAGCAACATAGCAGCGGCCTAGGAGTGTTTTTTTTGGAAAGGTGTATAGTAGCTGCGTCTTTTACGGAACCGCAAGTGTGGCTTCCCAGCTGCTACTACGCACAGGAATGTAACTGGGGCAGAATTGCGATTGCTCATGCTAGTGCACACGAGCAGACGTTGTGGTGGTCAAATGCCCCGCTTAATGTCATGTATATCTGCTAAACGTTTTTTTTTCTATGTATTTTCTAGTTTTTTCATTCTTGAGTGAATTGGTATCTCAAATTTTGTAACGCTTGGATGGTGCGAGGATGGAGAAATAAGCAAACAGCGCGGGAGACAACACATGCGCTTCTTTCATGCCGTATGTTGTGTCCTGTCCCGATTTTTTGTTCTTTTCTTACCATTACCAACATGCGAGTTCATTCTCTTACCACCAACAAACGAGTTCATTTGGCATTGAAGTGGCAATGCAAAAATGTATTTTAGTAGGGGAAAAGTCGTTGGATCATTCATGTATACTTATTGTACAGAAAAAATGACATGCTCACATGGAAACAAAGCGTTACAAAATTGAGCCACCTTTTTTTAAATCTAAGAAAGTTACGAGGAATTAGGGTTTGTGTTCGGGAGCTTATATGGCACAAAATTTTCCTACAGAGAATTCATTCTGTGCCTGCAATCCATATGCTCTCCCAAGACTTCGTGGCGATGTACCCATTTTGGCTTGACGCTGCTCATTTCACGTTTATCAGCCAATACTACTTTGCATTATGCCACTTTATAGACCAACAGGCCGCTTAGAAACAAGCCCGCACTCTCCCACGCCAGGTGTGGGCAGTCCGCGTGTGCGGAAACCATTTTCACGCGAGACTGCACATGTGCCGTGCCGACAGCAGCCCCACCACAGCAACATGACGTCAAAGCCACGTGTTGTGAAACAGAGAAGGCTAATAGGTACCGTGTATAACAGAGCTCATCGCTCACATTCTACGTTCCAATCTTTCTTTTCATTTCAGGAACAGGAGTTTGATCGGCTTTGCCGACAGTACGCTCCGTGAGAAGACAGGACCAAGTTTCCTCACACTATGCTGCATTCCTGAATTAAATCTAGAAACTTGCGATGTCAACTCGTTTTCTGGTTTACACGGCCCGCAGGCCGGCCTGTCCATTACACGCAATTGTGACGTTTATTTCTTCTCTTGCTTAAAACCCCGATTGTCAACTGGCTCCTGCTGCTGGTAATGGATGTGTGGTTCTCCCTTGCAAATTGGGCAGCTCTACGTACCTCCGAACTATGCACAGGGAAGGCTAGTAGGAAGAGACTCTTCTCTCGCTCCCCATGCGATGGCGCTGCGGTCGGGATGCGAAATGCACTCCTGGAACCAGTGCGGCTTTATTATGCCGTAGCTTTATTTCATTTCTGCACGTCTCGTCGATTTGGTCTGCGCTAGGCGCTCGAGACGTTTGTTTCCTTACGCATCCACCGGTTGCATTTGAACATTGACGTCACGTGAATTAAGGGCGTTTTCCTAGAGATTAAAACAAACAGATTTTTTTGCATTAGAGGGGAAGATTAGCGTGCTCATCGACAGACAGCGGAAAGTGATAGCAGCTACCTGAATATATACTCATTAAATAAAAAAAAAAAAAAAAAAAGAATCGTCAGGCTAAAATCTAAAATTTCCCGCTTTTTTGCCCGGTTTCGATATTTACTTGCTTAATATGTTTCATTGTGTCTTTTTTTTTTTTTTTTTTTTTTTTTTTTTTTTTTTTTTGACAAGCATTTTTGTGTACGACATATGTCTCTCATCCCACAATGTGCACCCCTCTGTGTAAAGTTTAATATTTATGCATTAAAAAGAAATATTCGAGTTTTCCGGAAGTACCTGGAACAATCGTCCTGCATAGAATGCGTTCTTGGATCAGTTAATCTCGGTGCTATCTTTTGCGTACCGAGACTCCTCTAATGAAAGTGCTGCGCCATTTGCGCCAAAGTGCCATTCTCGCCAGAGTTTGCGCCAGGTGTGCGCCGAAATAGACTTGAAGCAAAATAAATTTTGTGTTATTAGTGATTGACTAATATTCAGAGAAGTAGGCGGCAAGCAAAAATAGTACAAATATGTATTTCACAACGCCTCTACTCACCGCATAGTTTGTTCCTTTAGGCCAGAGCACAGTTGAAAGCTTTAAAACATACAACAACGAACGCACACTACAAGAGCACTTGATTTAGTTGACGAAAGATGGACGGAAGTCATGATGTCGCGCTTTTACACCGTTTCCCTGATTCTATTGGCTCGTGGCATCGGCAGCTCTTATAATAAAGACGAAACGAAGCATAGAGATTGTTCGTCAAGCGCGCTGGCCGGATGATGCGCTGGCGGGTTGATCGCCGACATCGTCTAAGTTTTCGGATAATGTTGGCGATGTCATGAGCTAAAAGTCGCTAGAAAACATTGCATAGTAGTAAGATGGCAACTTCTATTATGAGAAAGACAGAACGAGGTCTTGCACTCCTGACGAGATCACTTGATTATCATGTCGGCCGCATGTTTTCGTGTCATCTCTCACCAGCGCGCTGTCGAGCTTCACCGCTTTACACCAGTGTGCTAGGAACGGCGGCTGACATGGGTTAGTGCGATAGATTTGGAAATTACGCTTAGTGCAATTACAGGTCTGCCTTCTTTAGTCTTGATTGTAAGTTAATATATATATATATATATATATATATATATATATATATATATATACATACACACACACACACACACACACACACACATACGGTGAAGAGGTTCAACGGGCCGGTTGGACGTAATACGAAAGTGGAGGAGCTCCAGGAAAGGCCTTTCTTTACTGCAGCAACGTTTCAAGCGGGGACCGCTTTTCTTCAGGGCGGGATGGTTGTGAAATGTCCTCTTCTTCTTGTTGATGTTCGTGTGGAAGAGGAAGAGTTGCTATGAAGGGTATTAAAAATATTCGGAACAGGAGCAAAAAAATTATCGTAAATCTTTGAAATTAGTAATTATAAACAATGTTAATCAAAATCAACAAATCAAAATCAACAAAGACTGCGGCAAATACTACAAATCAATTTATTTCGTTTTATTGATTTTGATTAACATTGTTTATAATTACTAATTTCAAAGATTCACGATAATTTTTTTGCTCCTGTTCCGAATATTTTTAGTACCCTTTATAGCAACTCTTCCTCTTCCACACGAACATCAACAAGAAGAAGAGGACATTTCACAACCATCCCACTCTGAAGAAAAGCGGTCCCCGCTTGAAACGTTGGTGCAGTAAAGAAAGGCCTTTCCTGGAGCTCCTCCACTTTCGTTATATATATATATTAAATTGCGTCGAGAAAGAAAGAGGATGCAAGTTTGTTTAAATAAATACGGTAGTCAAAGTTGTTTGTGCAGCTGTCGATCGAAAGAGCAGCAAACTAACTCGAATTCCGGCGCCGCGGAAGAGCAGTGTCACTTTGAAAGCACAGGTGTAGGTTTACATGATATTTTCTGCGGTTGTTTTTGCATTTTTATGTTGGAGTCGAGTTTGGTAGGTTATTAAAACTTGGGGGACACTTTTATTGATGGGCCTGTTAGTGGATACGCTCGTTTTTGCTTCAATTTTATAGAAATGTTTACAGGCTAAATAAACTAACGAATCTAGAAGTACAAAGGGAAAAAGGCTCTATTCCAACTGAAATGTTGTGCTTTAAGTCATTTTTTACTTTGGAAATAATACCAGACCATCAACCTTGACGGTGTTGGTTTAGGAAGCGGTGACAAGCAGCTTTACACACCATCGAAATTGTCGCGGGCGATTGATAATCATAGTAGTGACGCCACAGACAGGAACAATTAAAGAGAACCACCGAAACATCTCGTCGCCAATAGGAGGCGCTAGTTGGGTTCTAGCTGACGAGAGTCTAACAGCGCAGCAGCGCTGTTAGATAAAAAAAAAAACGCAACACAAAGGACGTGTAATAAAAAAAAATGAAAGACATTTACCATCCCCTGTAACGCCGAATTAGAGCGCAGCTCTTAGCGGGAAATATTTCCCGCTAAATTTACGGGAAAATTTCCGCCTAAATTTAGCGAGGAAATTTACCCCTAATGCAACGCGCGGTGATGTCACTCGTGACCCTCGAGACATCACACGTGTCGTCACGTGTGACGTCATCATGGGAAACGTTCCATAATGCTGCGCGCGGCTACGCCGACGCCGCCCAAGCCGGAAACGGGCGCCTGGGAGCTGCGCTCTAAAAACAACGAGGAGCGGCTTGAGGTCGGCATTGATGAATCTCGAAGACTCCTTTGGGTGCCTCGGACGACGTCCTCAACAGTGGAAGTCACAAGTTTGGCGATACCGATGCTACGGCCTGCACCTCGCTGGGAAAATCTGCAACGTTGCCAGACACGCCAACAAAACGCCGTCAATTGTAACGAGAATCCACGAAAGGCGGAGGGCGTTCGTGCAGCCCTAGCAAAAAAGCTCCCCCATCCCCGTGGGATGTTTTTGCGCGGCACCGCGCAAAAAAAGCTTGACGTTGTTACCACGTGATGCGCGTCCCGGGGGCCAAAGCGAGGGATTTCTCCTGAAGTGTGAATACCCCTTTAACAACTGCCACCTTGTAGTAAAATAATAAAAACATATACAAATTTCGGCCCTGTCATTGTCCAACCCATACAAAAAATGCTTTTGCGAGGCAAGTGTTTGAACGAACTCAGAAAACCACAGGCGCCCTATGAAGAATGCACAGCTTCTCATACAGGGTCTATATATTTTTCTTTCAAAGGTAGTAGGAAAAGGAACAGGAGTTGGTCAGTTGTCCTTCAGAAAACTGATGTAATATCCTGAAATATGAGAGGGGACAAAAATATATAATTATTAATATGAGAAGGAGGCCCTCCGATTCTGGAAGCAAACTTTAACATAACTAAGCAACTTTAAGTTACAGAAAGGGTTATTTAATCTAGTTAGCCGGTGTGTACTACTCACACCTCGTCGTATAACTTCGTCAGTATTGGGTATAATTCTGAACAACCCGGCTTGTAAGTCTGGAAGTCAAGGTCAGCGACAAGGATGCATCGAGAGCTTCCCTGGGAAATGTTCAGGTGTAGAAGATCGTTCATATTATCATCTGACAGGTAAGCGTATAGTAATGGCAGATTTCGATCTCGACGAGACCTAACAATGGAGTAACATGTACATTCCCCGAAATTCGAATTTTCTAGTCGCTGTCCTGTGCACAGTTCGAAAAGCGGCGCTCTGCCCGGTATATAGGGAAAGCGGGTCGATGTTAAATAACGATTGCTCTGCCTATCTATGAGGGTGGCGGCCATAGAAATACCAGCGCAGAGCTTTTCCCGATGCAGATTATAGTCAGGAATATAAGTTAGAAACTTGAGTGCTTTCGTCGTGACATATGGGCAAATCTCGGCACTAATGTTGTACGGTCGAATCTCATGGGTCATAAAGAAGAAAAAATCCACCAGGTCCGGAGGCATCGAGCCTACGGTTACGTTGTCTCCGTAGGGAAGAATGAGCGTCATCAGCGCTGAGAGATTGTTCACACTCAAGAGCTTTCTCACATTAGCGAAAAGAGCTGAAAGTGTGTTGTGAACGTCGGAAGGCTGGCAGGCGCCCGTGGGCACAACCCAGTGGATGGCGATCCCGTCCAGGCGAAGGTCGACCATCATGGTCACGATGTCGACGACCAGGGTGTCCATGGCCGCGGGGTCTCTGCCCAGCCTTGAGAATTGGGGACTGTCTTCTGGGTACCCGCCGAGGGCCACCAGAACCTTGGTTTTGTTTCCACTGAGGCGGTCGGAAGTATTCTTCAGCTCCGAGATGCCGTACAAGTTGTCAAATGCTGGAACTCTACTTCTTACTAGGCCATCATCGATGCTCATTGACCAATAGATGACATATGGGCAAAGGTCGAATGGTAGGTGCTCCGGGAGGTAGTGGAAGTCCTCCTGTTTGCGGAATCTTGAGTTGTTAAACAGACAAAAAAAAACTGAGGTTTTTGTGATGTGGCATCGAAAAATTGCTGACATTACGGCACAGGCCGCTGATGTCGTCCTCCAGGGTTACCGCACCAGAGCAATTTAAGTCG